TTATGTCCATCCGTATGTTTTTTTGCTTGGCGAGTGCTCCAAGAGACCTCATGCTAGACGCGTACCTCACAACACCTGTGTTGTAACGGACGTGCAGAGAGTAAAAGTTTTTCTACATCAATGGTCGATTCCAGTGTTAATCTGACAATGCTAGGTTTGCCATAGTGTACAAAATTCAGGTGACGATTAATTCTCACTATGTTTGCGGTTTTCTCTTTTATATTCATCAAAATGCACAGTGAGTTCCACTGGTCTTGTTCGTACAACAACTTACCCCGCAATCTGATAGCTGTATAGTCGGGGACATCTGTGTACACGACAGTCAAAGCGTTCTTGTTTGAGTCACATTTTGTTGTTGTTGGGATTGTCTTGCCTGGCTTTATGCCAAATGATAATGGTCTACTGTTTGTCGCTTTATTAGCGTTACTGGTGCTTACCACAGAGTAGACAATAAATACAGCATCCAGTGAGACTTTTTCAGCAATCTCGGCATATGTGACTGAAGTGTCGGGGGATTTGGAATCGACCAGAAGTCCTTGGTTGGCAGACGCAGTAGACTCGTGCTGGGCTGTCCTACCCTTGTTAATAATATATGTTATCAAGACCGGTTGAATTTGATCAAGCACATGTTTCGGGTGGTGTCTGCTTTTCATGGTCCTGTGTAGAGTTTCGCTATCAGAGTTAGGATCTGCTTTCGCCTGGCGTTCCTGCATAATATTTTCTTTATCGCAATAGAAAACACAGTACGCTATGGTGCATACAAGTGCGAGTTTTTATTGGAACGGATGCAAAACGCGCAGTATTACACAACTAAAATGCATAAATTTACTAGAATTAAAAATGAAGTAAAAGTGTCAACTTGTCTATGTGTGATAAGCGTAAGATATTTCGTAGGTAGAAACTAACGAGTCTGCTGAGTCCATATACCTCTTATTTTCGTTTTCGGTGACGGCGCTCATTTTGTGCAGAGGAATATAAAGAAGTAATAGCATGAGAATAAAACTAATATATAACCTTACTTGTCAACGTTCATGTGGATATGATGGATACAAAGATAGCGAAGAGAAGGAAAACGGGGAATGAAAAGAACATCAAGGATTTACTGCGTAATAGTGCGCTTATTTCGACACCTGATGCAACGTCAAACCAGGTGGAACGAGAGTGAAAGTTGGAGTATGAGTAAACGACACGTCAAGGGTTGAATTCGGCTGCCTAAATTCCTGTTGTGGGCAAGCTTCTTGTAGGCGCACGGTGAACCTTTGAGCACATGATCGGGAAGAATGCAAAACAAAATAAACTAAACGAAGGGTCATGTTAGCAAATACAAGAGTGCATGTAATGTCACAGGCTCACCATGGTTAGTTGCACCATAACAGAAAGAAAGCACGGAATGGGGTAGAGGAGAAAAGGCCTTTTGAATCAGTGAATTTCTTTATTCCCTTTAAAACGTGCCTATATCCATACCCATGTTGAGTAATCCCCTGCTTCTTGGCTGTTAATCTGTTTATTAGACCACGGTAAACGTTCTTTGAATTGCGTGCTCTTAAGTACGGGTTCTGGTATTTTGTACAATTGCGTAGTAATTAAAGGGGATTTCGCTCTTAAGCTATTTCGCGTGTGTTTCCTGACGATGCGTTAATTATATACCTTATATTTTACTTTATGGGAAATTGAAGTAACATCCGAGCCAGTCCTTGGCACTGCTCGCGGAACTCAATGGCTTAGTAATCATGGAGATAGTCACCAATCACTATGCGTTGAGTTTCATTTCCTGCTCAGCTATCTCTACCTTATGAGTCTAAACAAAGACGAAACCGGCGGTCGTGGAGTGTAGGGATGCGAGAGAGCCATACCGAAACCCTCCACTTCGGTGACGGTCCCAGTGACCGTATTGGCAGAGGCTGAATTCAAAGTCAACTGTGGCTACAATTGTGATTGCATGTTGTAATCCAAGACGCACAGCGGGTGCTCCAAAACCCGAAAAACCAACATAGACAACACTTTTGGGTTATTGCAAGAATCAGTTATTGGTCCTAACTCCGGGAACTTTCGTAGATCGTTTCGAAATTTAGGATGTCAACTGACGGTGCTGAATTAGCAGTCATTTTATTTCCACATCGTAGCTTCTTCAGCTTTCGTGTTATATTCGATAAAATGCATTTCGGACTCATCTTGAATGCACGTATTAGAAAAAACTAGAATAAAGTTTAAATTTGTAGAGTGTGATAGGTGCACATTGCGGTTTATGGAATAGGAAATTTCTATACAAGCTTAGGGGATGCAGTTTTGCTTCAATTTCTTTTCAATTAAGGTTGAGATAGTCACAAGAGCTTATAGGTTAGTTGACTACTCCATGACCGTAAGGTATTCCTTTAAAGCGGAACTCTGCAGTCTTTTAACCGCTACGATGAGGATTAGATTGACGGTATAGGCTTTATGGCCTAGATCTTTTCTAAAGCTAGCTTAAGAAACTGTCCACCCCAGGTTGGAGATGAATTATGTTGTGCTAATGCAAATGCATTACATTTGGAAGCAGCTTGCCCAAGACAAAGACTGGGGTCCCTGTAATCCGGGAGACATTGTCGAGTGTGGAACTTACTGACGCTCATCTACCACATCACTTGTCCGGATGGTCAACAATATACTATGTTAACGTGTCAAACGATTAATTTATGTTTTATCATGCCAAAAGTCACCCCCGAGATACAATAAATCCGTTAATGTGGAAAACATCCGATAATGGATTCGCCAAATTTAAGAGAGAGGCACTGGTAGCAAGAGGTCAAGTTTGACGTTTATCCAGAGCGAGGGTTTGTGCAATGTTAACACAAATGCATTGGAACTATCATATGCATCAATTTGTGTTTTCGGTAACGACGCATGGATCAAACATCGAAGGACGAGGTGCACGGACGGAAGAGTACTCATACATAAGGGTTCTCCCGTGCGCTCGTGAATGCTTACTGTGGTGTTCAATAAATAAATCGATGTTTTATTCTCGACGATAGGAGACAAGTCTGCATAGATATGATCACGGTAATATAAACATTAAGAACCGGTAAATGTACATAGCAATACAAGTTTATCAGCAGCATGTGAATATTTGTGTTAAATGTATATTAATGTAGGTAGACGTGAATGTGTTTGACTGTGTTGCGTGGATTCGTAAATGTGACGCCTTATCTGTGCTTGGTTTCTGTTGGGTCGCTATGGTGAAAATGTGTGAATTAAAACTGGATGACTGACATCAAGGGAATGGGTAAAATCTTCCTGCTACGAAAGAAGCAGAGACCTTAGTTACTGCCATGTCACGTTCGCTACATCGCAGTGTTGTTAAACAGACTTTTGTAACTTTTTATAGAAAGGACTCTTTCTAGGCGAAAACCCACCACTTCCTGATACACTGCCACGGAACACTGATGCAGCAATTTCTGGACCGCGCCGAGTGTTTTCTACTACTTTTTATTCGTGTCTAAGGTCACACAGTTTTCGGGCGACCACCAGAAGAACATCGGAATTCAGTTGGCGTGTTGCCAAGCACCCGCGCTGACAACGCTGTCATACATAATGTGGTACATGTTGATGTAACTATCTTCACATGCTATACTCCTGCACATCCCTGTTACACATGTACATTTTTAATTAAAGCTAGCTCAAGGGTTTCCGGGAACATTTTGCAAGTGCTTCCGGCATTCATGTGCTGGGACTTATGTCATTTCGATACAAGCAGGCATGCAAACTTTTCAACAGAAAATGGCTGGAACATGAAAGTAAGTAAACACTAATGCAGCACTCCCTTATTATGAGTTCTTGGGATGATCTATCTCAAAGCTTATCTACAGGATGCAACAAGCGCAAAGGTTAGAGTGCAAACATATGAAGTGTTCTTTAAAAATCCATGTAGTTCTAGACTGAGCAGTATTTTGTGGCTCATTCAACTTACCTAAACAAGCTCAAAAGGCCAATATAATCCATAGCCTTTTTCAATTTAATGAAGTCTTTTCAGCTCATTCCATCCTGCCACCTGTGTAGTGTCTTAAGACAAATGCGATGAACTCTCCAGAGAGCTCAACCTACTTGATTTTACTTTTACGCAACTGTGAACCCTTTTCCAGTATGATCACTTTCCTAGACATAAGTTCGACAGTCTTAAAGAAACTCATATTTTTCGTGCTAGCACATTGGTACACAGAGGTAGGTTGTTTTGACTGCGTGACATATTACTGATTGTTTTCAAATACTGTGGGCTGCACACGCGCCACAGTATTTTGTGGGGTCATGTATACAATCTTTAGATTTGCTACTTGATTGAAAAGGACGTAGACAATTTCAGGAACTTGTAAAAATGCAACCGGGTGTCATTTGGATCAGTATCATTATCACTGCTTCACGTCAATCGCAGAGGCGCTTCTGGTTACACCTTCTTGCCATTTCCGCATTCGTATGTGTGCGATTAGCCGAGAAATAACTGTAGAAATACGTGGACACAATAGACGAATGTAAGACGGGTTTCATAGCTAATTAAAGCAAACATTGCAATTTGCATGATCATGATTTTAGAATTTTATTGCTGCGGCAATTTAAACAACACTGTATTTGTCAAAATAGCAATGGTGGACGAGGCCAATGCGCATATCCAATGGTGTCGTATACAGATGATGTCCGTTTTTTGTCAAACAGCCATGGTGACTAACAAGATGAAATGACGATATGATGAGTTACTACACAGGCTGCTGTAACGAAGGGAGAATGAACAATCTGGCAACTGTCCCAATTCGGATAAAATATGTCGATCAAACACTGAACTGGAATGCTCAAGCAAGCGTAGGTAGTTTCAGCTCGCGTCAGAAGACAGAAAATGTGTCATGACAAATTAGACTGAAACCTTAATTGTGTATGCCCACCATCGTTGTGCCAAGCAGGTTGCAAAATATTAGATCACAGAAGCACAGTTAAATTTTTCATGAAATACCGTTGTGCTGGGTACCATAGATTCTTACATTTCCAGGATGCTTAACTTCTCTACAGTGGAAGACTTTTGTAACGCTTTTGAATATTGGTTACTAATATGGTCGGCTTTGGCAGCCAACCAAACTATCAAAATACTCCACGACATGGTCGTTATGGCTACTAAACGCTAGCAATAATTTGAGGCAAACTTTGTTTGGTATAGATATCGCATAGCTATTAATGCGGATGCTGCCACGTTGCCTGTAGTGTGCTGGTTTCAAAAGACAGCGCACAGTAAAGTATACAATAGTGAGAGTTATATTAGACCGTATGACTGCTTTTCCAACTTACTAACTACATGAACAACGGAGCCACTGCGTTGTACTAAAAAGATGTTAAACTATCAAAGGGCTGCTGCAATTCTGAGAGGTTTTTAGTACCTACGCTCCATACTAAAATATTTATCTCTACGGTTATCTTTCCATCCGGAGATTGTAAAACGTTGAATTTCCTATATCAGCCTGAGTACTTTGATTTTACCTTGACGGGTCACACGCTATCCGTGAGCAGAAGAGTTTTAAGGAACACATACCGTGAACTGATTAGGGAAAGCAAACAATATGATACCATATTGGTGTAGAAATCTTAGAAGTCATATTGTTTATCTACAAGTTGAAATTGTCATGTTTGTCTTCTGAGGTAGCTGCGTGAAATCTCTAGTGGAGCTCTTTGGTATTATGTTCATACGCCATCAAATATAGTCAAAATACACCTCAAACACAGTGTTCAACTCTTGGAGTCTCTTAAAAACGTACCCATATTCGGAAAGAGTAATTATGTCCGGCAAAGAATAATCTCACCTTGTGCATTGTTCCAGAAAGGTGAACAACGAAAACCGGTTAGAGGCTTCCTACTTTTGTCTCGACCTTTTCTAGCCGCTCACCAGGCTCATCTAGAAAGCCGTAAAGCGTAAATTTCTGCAGTAGACTCACGAAACGAATGTTTTCACTGTCTATCCCACTGTAACTTGAGGCTACGCTAAAAATGTACCCAACCGGTGAAGGAGTGAGGACAAAGGCCCTATTTGCAGTGATGCAGCAACAGCGCAAGTTAATCTGTCATTTGAATAATAGTACATTAGAAAATTTCCGTTAGTTCTCATATGGTTGCTATCATGTTTTTCCGTGGAAATTGTTTGCTTTTTTCAGGAATTTGCGAGTGGGATAACTTATGGCCATCGTGTCTGTTAAAGTCGACCCAGAACAGTTCCTACCATCAAATTAGCATGGACTCTGTTTTAGTTAGTTAGCCAGGTTTCATGAGAAGCAGACATTTTTGAACCTATTGCGTCTATGCCATCTTTATTAGCAGACGTCAGACGTATTTACTCAACCACACTGGTACACTCAAAGTGCTCGTATTTGAGAAAGATTGAGAAGCGCGTTGCATCTAAGGTGAACGCAAGTACAGATTTCCGATGTGTACATTCGATACGATGCACTCGTAGAGAGGCGCTAATGATAGATAGCCTTCGCCATTTGTCCAATAGCTTTTTGTCCCCTGCTTCCATACACAGTGAAGCGGCACCGTGTAACCGGATTCCTTATCTGCGGGTGCCTGATGCAAATTGTGACAGGTATTTAAGTGGCTACGTGGCATACATAATTTAAATCTCCATCTTTCGTTGCTGTCAGATGGAATCGCTCTACGTCAGTTTTTTAAGCATGCAATAACCTTTTCTCCGATTTTAATATATCCATTAGTTTTCCTGGTTTCGCTGGCAGCCCTTTACATACAAGTCAGCGAAGTAACCCTTAACAACCCTGTCAAATTGGATGTTACAGTGTAGACCTTTGATGTCTGCACCAAAACGCCCTAAAAAGGAAGCCTTATCTGGCGGATAATAGTTGTAGTGTCCTAGCATGCTTACACAATGGTAGTAAGATATTAACAAAGGTAGGTATTAGGGTTGTACAAAACATATTTTTGGTTAGTTTAGGGGGCAATGAAACATATATTAGCAACAAGAAATACAAAACATATTTAGGATACTTTTCGTTAGCTTAACCATGCATTATATACATAAATTTTTGCTAATGCACTTGATAACTGTTTTGTCACCTACGCCATGATCTGACAAGGACTTTTGTAGTTATTATGATTGTATTATATTTTATCTTGGTTTTTAGCAGTTCCGTTACCAACCATTTTGTAGCTTTTTGTTAAATGCACATTTTTCGACTAAAATAATTTCAACGCGCCAGCGTCGTGCTGGTGTCATTTGCTGCTGACTGTGCTTGTGTTGCTGCCACGTCATTCCAGTAGTCGGATTGATATCTTTGAATAGCTAGTCGGCATCGGGATAATCTTGCCTGAAGGAAGAACTATAACGAAAGTGTGCTTGATTGTTCCTCTATTTTGAGTTTTCGCTTAAGATTGTCTTTTACCTTCGCACTTGAACTTATTAGGTAACGGTCCTCTACTATAATTGGTAACCCCGAGGTGACATATTCTGCAGATCGGCAGCGACTTTGTCACTTGTCAAGTTGGAAACGCTAATTGCAGTAACGGCTCGCAAGCGGAAACCAGCTTGGCAATTTCTTAAGAGTTGCTTGAGGTAAAATCCGGGAGGGCAGGTGCTGATTTGGGATGGATATCACCAGCTGACTCGCTGAACCATGAACAATTACAAATGCTTTATCAAGGGGAAAAATGTATGTGGTTGACAAGCCCCGTAGGATGGTTGGAGTAAAAATTAAACTGTAGAAGATGGTCGAATAAGTAAATCGTTATTTTAAGCGTCTACCCATTTAAATGCACTATTGCGTAATGATAGTTTGAAGTGGGAATGGGAAGTGCATACACAAAATAGTATAAAGTGCTGTTATGGCTCAGTAAACGCGTGAGAGAGGAAAAAGCAACCAACAAAGCTCACTAGTGCTTTGCTTTATTTGACAGATGTGGCGTGTTAATCCAGTTTAGGTACAGCCAGTCTAATCACATGGACACTTCTGCATGTATCCTCACCGCCAACTTGCGGAGAGGGCCGTTAAGCACGTGGTTAGGTTTGTGTTATTTCTTCCTCCAATTTGAACGGACTATATCAAGTAATGCAAGTTAAAAAGCGTTGCATCAAGGCGCCTTTTAAACAGGGTTACTGTAGGAGCAAGGATAAAGTGAGTCGGAAGGGCATTCCAGACAACGGACACACGGAGGGAGTAAAGGTTGCGTCGACAATCAAGCCGACTGTAGTGCGTAGCTAGTTTGAGCTGATGGCATCTCAGGTTGGTAATTTGGCTCTGTTGCAACGGATTGCGACATGGGTGATTTGGGTTCGTTACTATTAAGTCAATTATGATTAGGTCTCAACACTGACGTCGATATTCACCACTGTACAATATCAGGGATTACAGTCTGCGTTGGTAGAAGAGATGAGACAATCCTCTAACGAGTTTGATCGCTCTACGTTGTGGAGGTTCGAGTGCATCGACATCGCGCTTGCATCAGGGACTCCAGGCCTGGATCGTAAGTTCCACATGAGGCCTTATGTAGGCTTTCAGCAGTTGCGGAAAGACTGATGGCTCAAAATTCCCGAAAGCCATCCGTATGAGTCCAAGAAGCTGACTGGCTCTTTCTGAGGTCTTTTCAGCTAGTCTCGAGCAACTCAGATCGTACTGGTCGATTACCCCGAGGTCGCTTTTTGGGAAGCATGTTGTAACTGCTGGCCCAAAAGTCGATATTCATGGGTAGGCTGATGGCGTATGCTTGCGTCTTTGCACTTGGTCACGTTAACCTGGGGCATTTTATGGTGATGACCACGCATAAGCCCTGTCGAGATCGCTCTGCAATTCCATGTGATTTTCCGCTGTCTTGATATCATGCCAAATTTAGACATCGTCTGCAAATATTAAGAAATTCGAATGCAGTACACTGGCATGACCGTTAATGAATGTGAGGAATAAACGTGGCCCAAGTACCGATCATTGAGGCATGACACACTAGACTTCAATTAGGTCGGAAATGGAGCTGCGGACTCTCACATTCAGCTGAGGTTGAGCGAGAAAGTTGCCGATCCAACGGAGTATAGGGTTACCGATTCCATAACTTCGAAGCTTGTGAAGGAGAATGCGGTGGTCCAAACGATCGAACGCTTTCGAGAAGTCCAAGTAGACAACATCGACTCCCAATCTGGCATTGACTTACACTGTCCAGCTTACTAAGGCTAGAAGCAAGTTTGTAGTGTAGGATCGATTTCGGCGGAATCCGTGTTGCTTTGACACTCGGATGTTGTTGCTCGCATGATATCCCATGAGCGCCTCTGCAATTATACGTTCCATCACTTTCGGTGTCGCACGGTAGGTGCACTGATCGTGGTGTCGAAATTGATCGTCAGATCAGTATAAGCAACCAAGCAAGAATGCGATGGAGTTGTTAACAAAGCAAGGCTGTTTGTAGGAATTGCTTTCGACTGAGAAGCAGGAACAAAAATTTGTAAGATAATTCACTTGTTTGGAGGAAGAGGAAACATTTTTCCGGATTGCTGTGTTGATAGCTAGTATCAATATTAATCACATTATTTGTAACCGATGCCAGCCCTAGGTTTTCCCGTGTAAAAGACGGACCATTGTTTGTAACATTTAAACGTGGTTCGAAGCCAGGCACCTCGCAGATTTCGGCTAGCATGTCAGAGTGGAGACTTTCACAGTCTCTGATACAACGTCCAAACTAAGTTCTTTTAAACTTGTCGTGACCTTGTCAGCGTAAGAGTGCTAATGATGCAATCCTGTGCTCTGTTTTTAATTGGAATTATCCCTTCACATTCTTGTGCCACCTCTTCGGAAGTACGCTCAATCGATTCCGATCACCGAGCTCTATCCAATAGGGTCTATATTTTTGAAATAAGTCCAATGACACGCTGGTACATCACAAGCAAATGCTTCGGAAGTCTATTCACTAAGGCCAGCTTGAGCAACTTTGCTCATTTGAGATTCATCAGTACCTTTGGGATACCATTCGACAGAGCTTCTTTAAGGCTGTCTGACAATATATAACAGCACTGTGCACCAGTGTATACCATAGGTACAGGCATTTTGTCATCTCACGTTACCACCATACTTTTACATGCATTTCACTGCACGAAACCTGTGTGATTTTGGCTACTCGTGC